CTGTTATCGCAACAAAACTTTTGAAGAGATAAAAAGATTCGCCATCATTGTAGACACGGCCTAAGAACTAATAAATATGCAAATATTGTTTAGACATATTTTACTTATCAACCTAGAAAAAAGAACTCCTTGGTAATGGCTCTCGACAACGCCGTACATCTGATAATCAAAAAATGTTTTCTGAAGCTAGTATTAGTCGAATTGAATAGAAAGATAAGCCTAGTAGACAAAATCACATATTAAAAATTCCCAGTAAAACAAATCATATTGAATAGGCCTTTTCTCCAAATATTACATTRCGTTTCTTTGGTTCATTTTGTGATACTACCGCAAGGTATTAGAGCGGATTTCGTATGAGTGGGACACCGTTACCGCACGGTTACCGCACAGTTACCGCACCYGGCCTGCGCAATTTTGGTGAACCAATGGGGCACTAGAATTTGGTTACAGTACGATTACGGTCACAGTACAGTACCGTCCGTTTCCCACTCATACGAAATCCGCTCTATAATTCATTAGACGTCATTTCCTCGAAGGATGGATATGATCTACTCGTTGTGTTTGCACCACTGGATCACTTCATCAACATTTCAATGCAAGTATTAATGCTTAGGCTTATACTAAAGACAACTTTCTGTGACTTGTGGACTACTATTGTAGCAACAGATCCTCGCTCTGATAATGTTAACAACACAGAATTTGGCMAACACGACAACTGTGGGATACATGAAGTAATAATAACAAAGAGAAATCTGTTCGATCATCGAGTTTCGTCTCGAGTTTGTTGTATCTATTAATGGTTGATGTGTGTTGTATACCGAAGATCTGATTTTCGGTCGGAGGCCTAAGTGAAGTGTAATTCCCAGGTCCCATTGACAGGAGTTTGTACACACCCATATGAAAGCCTTTATCCATGTTTTTATCCACGCTGAACTCGGAAATACCATAGTCTTGTTTTCAAGTAAGATTGTCATTCAAGACAGGTTATCAGTAGCAAATGTGCTTATTAGAGTCTTAATTTGATCTAGTTGGGCGTAGTCTATTGGTGTTAGCATGTCGTCGTTCTCAGCATCCCTGTTTGCTCCTGCAGTCAACAAATCCCCGATGATATCAATCTGTGCTGTGCTGGTGCTGGTACGCTTACTGTTCGTGTCTTGATTGTTGAAAGAGGCGATGATGTGCAGCGGTGTGCATCCTTTTCCATTAGCAGCATCAGGATTAGCACCTCCATCAATCAGTAGTCTGACGATCTCGGCGTTAGGCAACTTACAAATTTGATTCACTTTCTTGTCATTATATACGTCTTGGGACACAGCGAGATGAAGAAGAGTGTTGCTGTTTTGGTGCATTTCTTTCTCTAAGCAAATAAACTTCTTGATGTGTTTCATAAATCTTCTTTGTTCTTTTCTTGAAAGATCTTGTCGTAATACAATAGCAATGTACAAGATGGCAGTTAATTGCGCTTCCTCGAGTTTCATCTCTCTTTCCCTGTCTAATTTGACTTTCTTTCCTGCTTCAGCAACGCCACCGTGCAGTTTTTCGACGTCCGTCAACAACAAGCTGAAGAGTTCCTCGACGTGTGCAAACGCAGGGATGTGCTTTTTCCGCACCATTTGACTTATGAGATTACCGATGCGCAACAACTGTTCTAAACTATCGTGTCCATTCTTCTGGTCAAGTTTTGCAGCGTACTTCCAAAGCTCCAAAGCCTCTTGATAGTGACCGGTATCTGCCAAGCAGGCTCCTCGGTACCGTATGTGCAATGGCACAGACAAATTCCATGTTCGCAGGAGACGCTCTCGCACGATCAATCCTTCCATATGAATGGCGTGTGCACTACTTTTAATAGCGTCAAGTTCGTCAGGTGTCTGGCACTCAAAGCGATAACCATAAGCTCTTACAGGAGGCCGAACGAATTTGTGCAGGACGTCGCTATCAGGTTCATTGTATCGGTGTTGCATTGCAGTCCATAAAAGCTTGAATGCTTTGTCAGTATTACTCTTAACTGGGTGGTTTGCGTAAGTCGCCCCAAGAAGTTCCAACGCTTCAATAATTTCGTATCTTGTCGTTTGAGCACGGAGTACAAAGAATTTCATAATTTCATCTTGGCAGGCGTTGCAGGCTAGTTTTAGTGGTGTTAGACCATCATCATTGACCAATATTTGTGCGTCTAGYTTTACCAACATTTTAACAACTGATAAGTGACCTCTTTCCGCGGCATAGTGCAAGGCTGTGTTTCCTGATGAACAAAAAAGATTAACCTTTAAGTCGATTATGATATATCTACATTAAAAAAAAACACATTAATAATACAAGATGACGTCATGTACATTACGTTTATATACTACTCATTGTATGATTGAATAATATTGCAGTCACTTTCTTAGCCTGCTTAGCCAGGCGTTCCTAACCGCTCCGAGAGAGTTTGCGACCGAGAAACCCAGAAGGGAACGCATGCCCGCAGCTTAACAAATTTGAAAAACGCCTCCTCATTAGATATGCATGATTAACCGTGAGTAACGTGAGAGGATTCTCACTAYGTTGTAAACACACAGAAAAGGTCCTCAAATTCAGCGTAGAGATTTTTCTAGAAGCCTAAAACATACCATTTAGGGGTATTTGTCTCTTTGCCTGCCTAAATAAGTTTGGTCGTCCTCCACACCAAAGCTTGTTTACTTCATGTGTAAGACGGCACAAAAACATATGTACCCGAAGAGCTCGAATTACWAACGGTCATTTCAAGATAATAACAGTACTTTATTTATCTAATGACACAATATAGTTCTTTCAAAACTACCTATGATTTCTAAGCTTTCGAATTGATCTGCTTTTAAACGACTAGATGATTATAACACAACATGTATTTGTCGACGTGATGGGATTTGCTAAAATGTTCGTCAAAAACATCATACCAGCTGTCAATCACTATCCCAACTGAYCAATGAGAAGCGCCCGTTCGTGGGCGAACGGGTTTTTCAAATTTGTTAAGCTGCGGGCAGGCGTTCCCTTCTGGGTTTCTCGGTCGCAAACTCTCTCGGAGCGGTTAGGAACGCCTGGCTAAGCAGGCTATCACTTTCGATATTGAGCCTTTAAAAGGTAAAAATTGAAATAAAACTAAGTTAAAATCTGATAGAGATTAAAAATGAAATAAAATTAGTCAGGTTTGTATTATCAGTAGTTTTGAAGTCATCCAGTGAAGAAATGTTTCTAATTGAAGATGGAGGTGAATTCCATAGGAAAGGACCAGCAACACTAAATTAACGAAAACCAACACAGAATAACATACTCGAATAAAAGGTAGCCTGCCTTAMATTTTATTTCGCCAAAATATTAACCGTCTGACGGTTCTTTTGGCAAATAAAACCGGATGTAACGCAGGCTAATAAAAGGCGTCGAACTGTTTCTTTTTTTTAAAAAACTTGTTTTTCTAAAATGCGAAGTGAGCTTCAATTTTTTAAGAGAATGAGCAAGAGATAATTCCTGATTTGCATACGACTTTACATTGGATTTCCTCTTAATTGATTATTTTTTATTTAAGTTTGTCAGCAAAATTTGATTTATAGCGCAGTCCTACACGTTGACAATCACCGTTAACTCCAGTACTCAATTTGTGGTTCAATATGTTCGTTGTCCTTTCTTCTCTAGCGATTCGATTGAAGGTTATTTTTGTGGGCACATTGAATTTTTCCTCCCGTTTTTTTACAAATATGTGATGGAAGGTTAAGTTCAGTTATCTTCTTTAAAGTGTCAGGATAACTCTGTCATAATTGTTGTTTTGTTCTTTATTTCGTCCTGTAACTTCAGTTTAATTGGGCTTTTGGTAGAAAGTCATCTACGCCACGAAATATTTTGTTGACTTCATCTTCATAAAGTGCGGTGTTTCAAAGACATCTTTATATTTGAACTTTAGTAATTTTGTAGTTTCTTAATATAAAGGAGCAGAAATCCCCTCGGAAATTCTCAGAGTATGTCTAAGGAGTTCGTTGCCCTCTCCTTGTACAAACAATGCATGTTCAGCTCTCCTCTAGTTCAATCATCACCTCGCTTTTCTGAAAATAGGTACCCTGGTCCACCGGCTTGGCTTGTATTCTTGCTTAATTAAAATGTTGAGCCGCGCAGCGGCGAGACGTTAATGGTACAAAATTAATGGGTGATAATTTGAGTACTAATTTGTTTTTCTATTGCCTATAAGCAACATGCAATATTTACTAGTAATTAGTAGTATTTGATTCACGAAATTAGTGCGTCCACCCGAGGGGCCAGATATAAAGTTGGCTGACAGTACTCTTGTTTTGTGTCCCCAAGGTGAAAAGAACCAACAGAAACCAGCAGATTGACTGACCGCCACCGCCGATWACGTCTCTCAATTGATTCCGGCGTATCTTTCTGATAACAATTGATCAGCAATCGATATCATTTATTATCAAGTCATCAATTGTCAATGATGATCAAATATTATCAATAATTACGTAGTCATTAGGTAAAAAGCCAAATAATGGAGACTATGACATGGCGTTAAAACATAACAATGATAATTCATATTTGCTTAAATGATGAGAAGAGGGAATGTTTAGTTGATACAACTAAGCGGAAAATTGTCTGTAACTCCCCCATTCTGAACGTAAACAGAACAGTCTCCGTTGAGTCCCGATATCGCGGCATCTAAGACCTTTACCGTCCACACTGCGACATGTGCAAGTTGCAAGGAAAGCTGTAGTCAGGAATGATCACAGGAAAATGAGACCACCAGCTTCTGCAAATCAGAAAAGACTACTTTGCTKGGTCGTCAATAGATGTGCTGTAAACTGCTCAAATATCATTATTATCGAAATGGCTTTTGGAAATCATAAAATCAAATACAGTTGTTTTTATCGATGTTGTAATGTTGAATATATGTAGCTTCGTTTTTACAAAAACAAAACCTTTGCTTAACTTCAACAGCATTTTTTTTGCTGTATATAAAAAAATAAAGTTAAAATTTATAATAACTTTGTTTACCTTTATTGTCTTTTGCGTTCAAATCAGCGTTTTTGTTAACTAGGATGGTAACGGTATCTCGGTGTCCATTAAAGGAAGCCGCCATTAAGCTTGTACTCCCTTGACTGTTGGCTAAATTTACGTCTGCTCCATAATTCACCAAACACAGAACAACATCATTCCAGCCGTGGAAGCAAGCAGTACGGATTGGAGTCGATTTGGAGCGCGTAGCGTGATTCGGGTCGGCTCCATTTAATACCAGAAGTTTAACAATATCTAAATGGTTGGCGTAAGATGCAGCCCATAGAGCGGTAACACCTTCTGCTCGCCTGTCTTCATCAAGGTTTATAGTACATGTTTGTTCTACGTCAACCAATTCGTTTTTTAGCAAAACCTCGACAACTTTTGTTAAGTTGTTTAATGAAGCTAGTACAAGAGGAGTCCCAATTTGCYGGTTAACTCGAACTAGTGTCTCGCTAAGGATGGCTCGACGTCTTTCTTGCGTTAGTTTAGTATCTTGAATCAGTTCTTGTAAGAGTTTCAAACCATCTTTGCTTACATTTTCTGTGCTCGTTTTAGCCTTGGTCGATGGATTTGAGCTGGTGTTATTTTGTGATTTTCTCATGATCGCATCGCCAAGCGATAGAAGACCAATCTTACATACGACTGACTGAGTCAAAGGATTGTGATTGTTGTGGTCTGTTTCATAACCCTTTGACCTTCTACTCGATAAAAGAAATTCTTGGACAGACAATAGAGATTGAGAGACGCATAAAATAAGATTACGTCGAAGTAATCAAATTGGAAGCGATGCGTAAATTCATGTAGGCTACTCCCATTAATCACTAGGCTTCGACAAGGGTTTTGTTTATTTTAACGAATGATATTCTAATGAGTCAAAAACAAAAGTTCATTACAATTATCAAGATTTAGTTAAACAAATGACAATCAATCAAGCATTCAAAATTTTCTCTTTTGTTGAGAAACTCTGCAGGGGTAAAGTCACGAGCAATGTTTTGAAACTTTTTCGTAAATATATTGTTTTTAGGCACATTCAGCTAGTAATTGTACTCCTCTCGACCAATGTAAAAGTATGCACTATAAATAAGCAAATAGTTAAGCCTATTTGGTCACATGTTATATGATAAAGTTCATCCTTATTAGTATTCTTCATAGATCAACAAATCAGGTATAAACATCCATGATCCTAGCAGATGTGTCAGGTTTACTATTTAAAGTCAAATGACAAGCAAATCTTATGTACTTATTGACTGAGTGGGAGGGCCGTACGGGAAAATATTTGGCTCGAGGTTATGCCGTACGGACCGAGCGCAGCGAGGTCCGTACAAATGACCGAGAGCCAAATATTTTCCCGCACKGCCCGACCTAACTCAGTCAATAAGCATTTTATCATATGACAGCGTTTTTTAATGTAAAAAAATATATAAAAGCGCGCGGAACTTCAAGCCGGGAAATTACGGGTTTGTACGGACCTGTCGCGAAAAGGCGTACGGACCCCATCACGTGACCATTTTCCAAAGGTTTCAGTGAGAGCGCGCGTAGGGCCGAAATACGGGTCATATGATAATATGTACATTCTTTTACAACTCCACACACCATTCGCGGTATAGCCACACTAAAAAAATTCGACTTCTTTAAGACATGTCAACAGAATTATACTGAGGAAAAACAGAGGATTCGAAGTATTTTAAGCGAAGAACATGAAAGACTATCGATCTGTTTTAATAATACCGCCAAGGATGCGACTCAGTAACGGCTCGTCAAACATAAATTACTTCTTTCACAGTATTATTAAAATTCTTCTAAGTACATTACTTGTTTGATTATTTTTCATTAAAGGAAATCTTTTTTCGCTGTTGTCTTAGTAATATTAATTTCATTAGGGTTCAATATCATTTACTGATTGTAATATACCACAGGAAGCCCATGTAAACGATCGCTGATCGTCTAATTGTTAGTAGAGTACAAACACTAAAACTGTGCAACATAAACACCACTAAATACTGATAAATTATTCTAATTCTATTGTTTTCTATTGTTTAATTAACGCTATTTTGTAGTAAATAGTGGAAAGTGTTGCACACATTTAATGTTTGTACTCTATCTAGTTTGATTTTATTTCATGGTTTTCCTGCGTTTGTTCTAAAAGCTTTTGAAAAGAAAATTTTGAACAAGATGAGGTTCCAAACTAGATGATGACCAAACTAAATGGTTTTGAGGCGTACTTTTTATTTGATTACAAGAACCATTTCAAATTTCTCTGTTCATAAATGATCCTCATTGGCTATTTTCTAAGCAGATGTTCTATGGTTCCCTGTAAAATGTTCTTAAAGTTTGTCCAGGTAATTGTCCAAGGCTGGAACACCCTCACTGAGACCCTTCCTTTTCCTGGTGTCTGCAACAATGTCTGGTCTCTTGTTTTCGGGAAGATGTTTCCAATGGTCGAAAACACATTGTGGAAAGGCTTGTCCTCCGGTATTGGAACGTAGATCAGCAGTGAAACCTACAAATACATATGTTTATTTGTTTAAGATACAAACAGCTTGTGAATAAGATCTCGTACGAAGTACTTAAATACACTTTTACCACGTSCGTCTTAGTCTAAACCGATAGTCTAGGCATGCTTGCTTAAAATATGAAGATTCGCCAAAAACATTATGCACTTCTCTAATGTTATTCATTAATATGGATCTCCTTACCAAATGATTCATTGACAGGGAGATGTGCTTTAACGTAGAACATAGGCGTTCCAGGAACTTGAGATTCCTCTACGACATGACCACGTCTTCTGTTTAGGACACCATATATACCACCAACCGCACTCTCTGGACACTGCACAATGCCAAAATCAGTTAGATGTAACAATTATATAGACTGCATACCAATTGTAATCTTACCTGGATCTCTACAAGATAAATGGGTTCAAACAGGGTTGGTTCTGCAGTCAACATACAAGCATATAGACATCTTCTTGTAGTGGGAATGATTTGTCCACCGCCGCGATGAATTGCGTCTGCATGCAGCGTAACGTCATGGATATTAAATCTCACCCCACGGACATTTTCCTCACACTGCGGGCCTTCTTTGGTTGCCCACTGTAATCCAGCAACCACGCTGTCTTTAATTTCATTCAAATACTGTACTCCCTTGGTCATGTCAACTAAAAGGTTAGGCCCAGTTCCCTCTGGCCCAAATGCCCAGATCTTTCTAGCATAACCAACATCCCATTCATATTTGTCAGCCAGATATCGACCACGTACTTTGAAGTCATCTCTGGGATTGATTTTTCCATCATCGATATCTTCTGCTATGCCTTCAGTTAAAGGCTCTGCTGTCATGTACAGACGGTTGTGTTTGTTTGGTGACTTGGACAGACAAGTCTGGGWCGATTCAATCTGAACTGTTTCTCTATAAGAAACGACTGGATCGGATTTCTGTAAAAAAGGTTCGAGGTTTGTATAAACATTCCTTTGCACTAGTTTCATGTAAATTAACAAACCTTTAATGGAATTCCAGCGTGGTCTTCCTCTAGATCTTTAAGACATATTTCCAGATGTAGCTCACCAGCACCAGCAACGATATGCTCTCCGCTCTCCGCAATAACGCACTGAAAATGGATACAATCTGTGAGTTTTAGGGTTCCTTCCTCTTGCATCAATCAGGACAAACATACCTGGACCATAGGATC